CGCCCTAGCCCTTCTCCTCTATCTACGCGCCCGGAGACGCAAGCGCATAGCACCCTCGTCCGAGTTCATGAATTCTTTTAGAACTGGCACCGCACCCGTCCTTCGTCTCGACTCAGGCGCCGAGTTTACCCCAACAATCCCCGAAAAGGGTGGCGGTTATACCCACTATCCAACCCCTGGTGTCCCGCTCCCGTTTACCCAAAATTCGTACTACAGCAATCCACCAACGCAGAACATGAAATTTCCGGACGAATTGATGTTGGCGGATATCCCATCTGCCCGGCCAAGCGTCGATCAGCCGCTCCATCCGCAAAGATTTTCCACGCAAGCCACCAACGAATCATTTGGGAACCACCATCACAGTTCGAGTGTTGGAAGTCGGCGAGAGTTGTGGGGGAGCGATACGGAAATACATGTCAATGCGAGTGATCTATCACCGGTCCGACTGTCTCCTCGTACAGATTCTGTGCTCCAGTTTGCGCCACGCTTCTCCTTGGACGACCTATCTTCACAGCCTTCACAGTCACCGCCATCGTTACATCCCCTGCGTCGTCAACCGGACTAGGTCAAGTAAATATACCTATGTACTGCCACTTTTAATTTATATACCCAGATTACATAATCGCGAGATTTAGTCAAACAATGCGGGACACTGCTTATGTAATCTAGCTAACGAAAGACGTTCCGGTGAGGCCTTGGTCAGTATAATTCGACCATGTTGGATCACTGTTCCATTTCGCATAAAGGTACGTGTTTGGCCTGCAATGTAGACCTGGTTCGAGCCTTGATGACAGGGGGTGTCGTTCTGTGGTCGCGCTCGTTCACCCCGGAAGCGTCTCATATAACTTCTTCCGCTGCATCGCCGGTCAACTCTCTCATCCGAGAGGCACTCATCGAGGGCCGAACCACCGAAGAAAAATACGAAAAGGACGGTTATGCAGTCAGATGGACATTTGTCAACGACCTCGAGCTCATCTTTGTCGTACGTGTCCGCAGACTGTCCACGTGCCCACCCTGACACAGTCGCTGCAGGTCGCGTACCAGCGCATCTTGCAACTCACATATGTCGAAGATCTCTTGACGGCCATGAAAGCCCTCTTCATCAAGCTGTTCGAACCGTTCTTGGCGACGTTCGTCGCCTCGCTCCATGCAATGAACAACGGCAAACAGGTGTCCTCGACTGCGTGCGATCCGTCTGTCCCTTGGAATTTCGTCAAGGACGTTCGAGGGTTGGGACAAGGTATTTGACAAACTGCTCAAGGGTATCGAAGAAAAAGTAGCACAGGTAACGAGAGCCGAAAACGTCCGCGCCAGACGTTTATTCATGCGTGACCTAGGATCGTAAATCGCGATACAGATCTGTCGTGCAGGTCGAAAAGCAGGCTTCTAGCCCTCCTTCAGACGATCTTGAGACATGTATGTGCTTGTTTTTGAGCCCCATTTTGCTCTGATGTACATCTGTCTCACAGTACCTTCCGAGTCCCCGGACGCCCCTCAGGACGAACAACAGATTGCGAGAAACGTCCAGGCACTCAAAGCGAGACTGCGTGGTCGCGGAGGTAGGCGTGGTGGCAGGGGAACATCGCGCGTCGAGTCGGGAAACGGACGAGACGGTGCCCCTACGTCAGAGTAAGTCCCCCGAGTTCGACCATCGCATTGTCTCACTGCTGTCCAGCAACGAATCTACCAAACTAAAAACCAAAACTAAGTCGGGGCGAAAGTGGGGCGACGAGACGCCCAGCGAATCCGACATGGCGTCGCTGGACTTTAGTGTTGATAAAGCAGGTTCTAGCACCTAATGGGCGTCTGACGCACGACTTGCAGAGTCTCATCGACGAAGCCTCTATGGGCATGAGAACCAAGGATGGGTTGTACGAAGTCAAGGATTGGGATTTTGGTGCCAAGGATGATGAGACCAATGATGTGATTGCGCGAGCACTCCGATCGGACGTGTCGAAACAGCCAACCAGCTCCCTGGGTTCTTTGGGTTCCCTGTTTGCACGTCTGACGGGTTCCAAGGTGCTAACCGAAGAAGATTTGAAGCCTGTCTTGGAAGGTATGAAGCAGCATCTCATGAAGAAGAACGTCGCGAAAGCAATCGCGGACAAAGTGTGTGAGGGCGTCGGCGAGAACTTGGTCGGCAAGAAGGTCGGCAGTTTCCAAAGTATGTCCTATTGGAGTGTCAGGATTAGCGCTGTACTGAACTTGTCTAGCGACGAGCAATGCCGTCCGCACGGCACTGTCAACGTCGTTGACTAGAATCCTCACACCAAAGACCTCCACTGATCTACTGTTGACCATTCGGACGAAACTCACATCGCCTGTTACTTCCTCTCAACAACGCATTCCGTACAGCATCGTGTTTGTAGGTGTCAATGGAGTTGGCAAGAGCACCAACCTGTCCAAAGTGTGCTTCTGGCTCATCCAAAATGGCTTGCGCGTCCTGATCGCCGCTTGCGACACTTTCCGGTGCGTGCATGCCTTGCTGTACCTTTTTGTCCTTCCCCTTTTCAACTAGGTTATTTATACTTTATAGGAGTGGTGCTGTGGAACAACTTCGAGTGCACGTGCGCAATTTGAGCATGTTAGGCGTCGACGGCGCTACTAATAGTAAAGGACGCGTGGAACTATACGAGAAAGGGTATGGGAAGGATGCTGCGGGGATCGCCAAGGAAGCGATTGCACATGGTCAGTATTTCCAACGAGGCTATCGCCGGGCTGACCCTGCAGCACAGCGAAAGACAACGATTTCGATGTCGTGCTCATCGACACGGCAGGTCGTATGCAGGACAATGAGGTATGACGCTCATGCATCGATCTGTTCATTGACTCATATTCGGCGCCTGTACAGCCACTCATGAGAGCATTAGCCAAAGTAATCAAGTTAGTCTGATGTATCGACCGTACGTGATTGATTCGTCCCCTAGCTCGTCACCGTCAACAGTCCAGACAAGATCATCTTTGTCGGAGAAGCCTTGGTAGGTAACGAAGCCGTCGACCAGCTGACCAAATTCGACCGTGCACTGCGCGACTTTTCGGCCGCCTCTACGGGCAAGAGCCGTGGCATTGACGGTATGCTCATTACCAAATGGGACACCGTCGACGACAAGGTGCGTACGCAGCGCTGCGACCACAGTTTGACGGGTGCCCGTTCCGGGACTGAAATTCCCATCCTATCTAGGTTGGTGCTGCGCTTTCGATGACCTACGTGACTGGACAACCCATCATCTTCGTGGGCTGTGGTCAGGTTCGTGATTGCGTGTTCTTGTGCACGATGTGACGTACAGAGGCTGATGATTTTTGATACCCGACCAGACCTATACGGATTTAAGACAGCTGAGGGTGTCAAACGTAGTACAGGCTATTTTGAGTGACTAGTCCCGTACGGCCAAGTCGTGATGGGGCCGTCTGCGTTTTACCGGGATATCTACATTTCACTTAACCGATCATCTGTTGGCAGTGTGTACAAGCCATTGCTTATCTAGGCCAAGCACAAGCATGTGATCGATGTGATCACTGGGATGCGTTACGACCTCTGACGAGTCCGCCGTTCCATACAAACGTCCATGCCCAATTCCATGTGTGACGACACTGCCTGATCAGACATCCTTGCGATATTGTGCGGCTAGTTTCTCATACAAGAAGATATCGAAGATGGGGCTATGAAACGACAACTTTAATTAATCGTTCGTTCCACGCGATGCGCAAGTATGCATTGCATTTCTGTTCCGCAAGTCTAAGTGTGGCTGGCGGTACTCCGGTCGGAGAAGAACGGAGAGCAAGATACGGCTTGCCGCGATGCATGCATGGCCATCAGCATGAGGTGCGGCGTTTGCAAGCCTGTCCTCGAATCACCGTGGCATCGCAAGCAGCCATGTGAGGAGCGCGACAGCGCAGCCTGGTCAGCAAGATAGAAGACTGACCCTTGGCATCATTAGAGTTGGAGAACGATTTCTGGAACTGTAATCATCGTCGGTCAGTCGGACGTATCTGTACAGGCGTATCTCTCAAACGCCCGTGGGCATGGGAACGGTGGTCCAGTCACCGCAATCCATTCGAATTTGATGAATGGAGCTGTATTATGTGCATCTGACCTTGGTAGCCGCTTGCCACGTTGATGTGCGTGCGGCGATATCTAGCAACGAGATAAACTTATCGCCAAGAGTTGTCTCCAATTTGGAACAAGGAATCATGATGCCAGATGCACAACAGAGACAACGTCAAGAAAAAAGGTGCGACTCGGATGCAGCAAGGTTTGCAGGTTTGCAGCGTTGCGCCACCGCGAAATGGATCCCTTTGCAACAACCCTTCAAATGGAGATCGCCACTGGCACCCCGTGTCCTCCAAAGGTGTGTTCCGAGTGAGGCGCCCAGGGACGCGCTAGGGGACGCGTTTCGGCATGATCCATGGCTGGTATGAGCCATCCCTATTCAGGCGCATCACGTTCGACGGGCCTGGACGCCACGTATGCAGCGCTGCTGCGTCCCCGTTCAAACACATGGAAACCGGTTCGTTGGCATGACTAGTCTCAGACCAAGGGCGCTTGGGCGCGCCGTGCGACGTCCTCGGGATGCCTACCGCCGTCGCGCGATCAAAGTGGATCGAGGACGTACATGGCCGCAACGCCTTGACAAGCGGACCGTATTTGACAAATTGACCGCCGCCACCGGGGGAAAGAACGATGGGCCACTGGCAGTCGCCGCGTCCTAGAAGCATACGAAAAGTCATGTCGCTAAACATGGGTTGAAACAGGGATCCACGAGCCTCATGGAGCCATGGTTCTTCCATAGCATCTATACGACGTTGCATTGCCCCGAGACGTGGGTCACGAGGATCAGGATCAGTCGATCAGGGTATCGCCAAACCATATTGACAAGTTGCAAATGATCAGTGCGTGACATCAATTGTTCCTAGGAGCAAGATGGTAGCGGACGAGCCTGACAATTCTGACCTTGTTTGGCACAGGATGTGAGAGAATACTTGTGAGACTCCTACACAAGTCTCTGGTAGTATATCGGACAGTACACCCGCCTGTCAAATGATGGTTCGCGGGAGAGCGGGGTTCGACTCCCCGCCAGAGAGACTAATTTTTTTTCTAAGTTAAAAGAGCTCGGATCGTCGCACTTCATGTAAATCCAGTGACCACAATATATTCGTGATATCCGCGTGACATTCCACTGAACGTGGCAGAACTAAAAAAAATCAAGATGTCTCTAGGCAACTGCGTACCCAGCAAAAACATCCGGGATACCATTGCAAGCGCATCGCCAGCTAGCTCGGGTAACTATTTTCTTCAAGCCATTTTCGCACCTCCTTCTTGTTCACCATGGTCATCACCCGGAGACGTTCCTCCTGCGTGCGATCCCGATAAAGCCGCATGATTTGCCCACATACGCTCCACACGTCATCCCATGGCGCGTCGAACAAATCCCACCAACAATAAGGTGGCGTGGATGGGAGTGAGATCCCCAAATGGCGCACGGCCAGGAGAATCGCAGCACTGACGATGGTGGGTACCGCATACAGCGCATACGCCGGCGTTTGCAATCTAGACACGCGGGCGCAATCAGGGCATAAAACGTGCCGTCAAATGACCATCGAAAACACGCACGCATCATTCAAATAACCCCATGCCTTGGCGCTCGCGTCCTTGTGATTCATGAGGCCGAGCACGCGGAGGTAATTAATGAGGGTGCCGTAGGGCAACACGACGCGGACGTTGAATCCGAGGCGTTTGAGGAGTTGCATCTCGGCGACGACGACGGCGTCTTTGAGGTCGTAAAACGTGTTACCGAAATAGGACATGACTGCGTACTTGAATGGAGCCTGCTCCGCGTGTGTGGGTGCGAGGGTGTGGGCGTTGCGTTGGAGAAGGAGGTCGTAAATGTTGACGAGGTCGCGGATCCGGAGCGGACATTCTTCGAGTTTTGAGGCGAGGTAGAGTGCACCCATGCCCACATCCTGTCAAGGGAAAGAGAAGAGACAAGAGGGTTCTGTGAAGATCAAAGAGAAAGACGGGAGGGAAGTGTGGTGCCTGACCCCTATGCTGAACTGCTTCATCGAGGAGGTGTACCAGAAACGTTGGTATAGGATCTGGGCGGTCGCAACGCCCACTTGTTTTCTGGGCACGACGCGTTATGGGTGGACAAGACGAACAGGCTGGACGTACTGTTTGAGAAGGACGCCGGCTTCATGTATGAGTTTGCAGCCAAACGCTCTGAGATCTTCTTCCAACTCTGGTGGGATGCCATCCTCGCACGACGGCGTGCGTTCGATTTGGGCGAGCGTTGCAAGCGGAACGAGGTCTGGGGCCGCCATTCAGGTAGTCGACGAACTGGTGTAAAGCATGCCAAACAAAGAAATTACTTGGTGGATCTAAACAAACCTACCTCATTCTGTGGCATGTCGAGTCTCCCTCCCAAACCCGAGCCCTCGAGGACAGCAAATACATGGCCAGAGTCAGGCGACGATCGACGCCTGGCTGGCCCCGGACGTGCATCGCCGAATCGCTATTCCCATTACCGCGACGACAGGGACCGGGACAGAGACAGAGAGTGGGATGCGCGCCGCTCGCGTTATACTCACAACGGGGAGAGGTCCCCTCCCCCCTCGCGTTCCACGGATAATTATACTGCTGGCTCTCGTGATACGTACAATCCGAGGGACTACAGAACCTATGGTGCCAGGGACGACCGCAGGAATGACAGGGATCGTGACCGCGACAGAGACAGAGATAGGGACAGAGACATTGACAGAGATAGAGGTAGAGATCGCGATCGGGGGTACTACAGACGACAAAGAGACGACCACTGGCGACCCCGAAATGACTACAGTCCCGCTCCGAATCGAAGGGACTGGCGCGGCCGTGATGATTACAGAAGAGAAAGGGACAGGGACCGAGGTAGGAGTAGGAGTAGGAGTAGAGACCGGGACGATCCATGGCCCAGGGATCGCGAACACGACAGACGGCCTGTGTCCCCTCCCTACCGACCTGCACCATTATCGCCGCGGCGTGGTGAGTCAACAATTATTCTTATTGATGCATATCTCCATGATATAATGCCAGACCATCACTATGAACCTCATTCTTCTCCTCGCCGTGCCCAACCACCATTCATTTCGAGGAAGACGCTCGACTTCCCCTAGGAGCGTGGGAGGCAGGTCTCGCAGATCATCTCCTGTGTCTCGCGCTGGACCTGAAGCCAGCATATGCCCATCCACCACGTGATGCTCCCCGACCACCAAAAAGCCCATCCCCTCGCAGAAGAAGTCCTTAGCCCAGATCAAAGCTTACGTCCTGTGTCGAGTCCCACACGGGCAGCATCCGAACGCCCATCTCCCAAAGCGGCGAGTCGTGTCCTTCATGGCCCTGACGAGCCCTTTGGAGATGTGCCGAGTGAATCTAAACCTGTTCGGGCAGAAGACCGACCCACTGAAAGCGCCGCAGTCTTGGACAGCCATATGGACGTCGATGTGACCACGGAGACGCTGACTAAAGGAAAGGATCACTCGGACGACCGTGAAGGGGAACCGCATGGAAAAGCAGAGCCAGGTTCCCCGATGTGCCAACAGGAATTAATATCAGCTCCTGAAACAATGCCGTCAAGCGACGTGGCTGTCACACAACCATTCTTACCAAGTATTCCCAGGTACGACAAGAAACCTAGATTTAGCGCCGCATATGAAACCGAGGAGGCGAGTCTGCGTGATCAGCTGGGTTGGTTTCCAGCTCACGCTACTGCTTTTTTTATTATTATAGTATAACCGGTTAGAGGCACATCGCGCTCACGCGGCAGCAGAATGCCGACGGTGCTTGAAAGCCAGCCGTCGAGCCTTCCACGAACTTGAGATGACCACGCTGGACTTGCGTGCAGCGCAGCATCGCCGAGAACTTGCGGAAGCACACCGTAAAAAGGCACATCATGGACAACTGGGAATTGATGCCGAGAGTGTGCAGTGAACAAATTGATCGAGATCGTAATATGTAGTACATTAATGCGAACGCGGGATCCGATTGCACACGATGTGGGTCCAAGATGGATCAGAGGGTAGTGGATGAGTCAGATGGGGGGACTGAGTACCATAGGGACGCGTCTGCATTGCCTCGAACAACTGCGTAGGAGAACATGTTGAGCTGCGGCGCGCGGTGGTAAGACGACTGATCGGTTGGTGGCGGAGGAAGAACACAGACAGTTACACACTGGCGATGCTTCTTGGCCGGACCGGCGCCTCGACAGACGGTGGAGGTGGGTGAATCTTGGCAGATGTCAAAAAAGTAGTGTGCCTGGAGATTTTACTACCAGGAAGGATGAGTAAGGAACACGGAGATAAGGGATGACCAGGACGGACCGAGATAAAGGCATGGAGGATGTGCATTGGGTCTGAATCGCAGCGCTGCATCGGTGGCGAAAGGAAGGGATGAATATGGAATGGAGAAGAAGTCGATGACGTATGGGGCTGTGACGAAAGGGAGGATTAAGACTAAGGAGGCAAAACGCGTGTGGGCAAAGTCCGGTATGATACAGGTGTAAGTCGGATGCTTAGTACAAATGCGGATGTATGCTTTGTGCCACCTGGCAGGATCATTGTTGTGGGTGGCATCATGTAAAGGAGTAATAAGAACAAGGCTGTAAGCGTGACGTGATGTGAGAGAAATGAAGGATAGGAGAAAAGGGAGCGACCTTTGTGAGACAGGACGCATATAGGCACGAGTCTATGAGCGGGAAGGGTGGTTGCTAGAGCGATGTGCTGGGGAGGGACGATCCCAGGGACGGGCAGTAGGACGAGATCTCCAGCGGTGGTTGCCTGTGCGACGCTTTGGCTGTGGCTGGGGGTCGTCGTCGAAGTCACGCTTGCGTTTCGGAGGACGGTGAGTGTAGGGGGGATGGGAGAGGTCCTCGTCTGTGTCCGGGAGATCGAACTGAAGGAAGGTGGGGGAGTGGTAGGGGAGGGGACGGGGTGCGAGGAGAGGTACGTTGCACACGACACGAATGGGCTCTATGTCGAGGGATATGTCGGACAGGGGGGAGGATGGGATGGAGAGACATGGATCTAGGAAGAGGAAGTTGTCGAGCGGAGAGAGGAGGGGTTGCATGGGGAAGAGAGACAAGGAGGGAGAGCATGGCGAGGAAGGGTTATATATGTTGGTTGGTAGAATAGAAACGGGATGACTTATAACGTAATTCACTTTTCAGTCCATATCCACCATGTCCACCCTCATCAAGCACGTGCTCTCCACCACTCCCTACTTGGTCCGTCGCAACACGCGTGGTTCCCTTCCCGTCTATTCCGACATTCGAAACGCTCGAACACGTTACACAGTCCAAATCAGAAACGTAGAGGGAAACATCAACGTGAGCACTGAGCCATCATCGCTTCCTCTCCATTCCCTCTGAACCGCCCCCAGCACCTCGTGCACGATCTCAGGCAGTCCCTCTTCTCCAAAGACTCGCCACATGCACAGCGTCTCGCCGTCAACGTTCATCAGCAAAAACACATCATCCTCTCTGGCGGCCGCTTCAAGCGCGACGTGATGGCGTGGCTCGCAGCCAAGGGTTTCTAACGCTTACCCTGCCACCACAATTCCGGATTAGCAGCTACCGGTTTCACTTCCCCATACATATTAAATAGCCGTCCTGTCTTTCCATTGTCTATCCACATTATCATACCATCTCAGCTCAAACACTCGAATTCAGGGACATGTCTTCTCCTTGTAGTGAAATCGATGACCGATCGCACGGGTCTTTGCCGTGATCAATGATATGTCTACCTCCAGCTCTCATGCCTGACTCGATTTTTATTTTATTATATATTTTTATGTATCTCCGAGATGCTGACATGTTCCGTTCCCGATATCCGCCTACCATCTCCCCTTTTGTCGCTTTTTCATCATGACCGCCCCCGTTCCTCCTCCTTCTCCTGTCGCGACCCCCACAGCCCCATCAACAATCACTCCATCGAGTGCACCCCCTCCTTCCGCACCACCACCCCGCTCCACCCAGCGCGATGGCGGAAATACCAGCTTGGGCACCTTCGGAGTACGTGTCACTTTCTTTTCTTCCCCGCTTCCTCTCCATTCATCT